GCTCGCACTGCCGGGGCGTGTGCTCCAGCAGGGCAGGAGTGCGTTCGCGTAAGCGCCTTCGCCCTGCTCCAGCGCATTTGGAAAGAGAGAGAGAGAGAGAGCGAGCAACCAGGGCAGTTGCACTGCTCGCGTGCTTGCCGCCTGCGCCGTGTTTTGGGCCGCATGCTAGCGTTGGGGGTGCCCCGAAGCTTCCTCTCACGCGGTTTATTTACTCCGCTGCCTTTTCTCAGGGCAGTGCGACAAGGTGTTTGACGGGTCGTCTACACAGGCGTCCGCCTCCGTGCCACTTCTGGATCCGCGGGGTCGCACAGGCCCTGAAGTATGCGTACCCGACTGGATCAATCGGCTAGTTTTAGTTTTTGTCCATCGATTCGGATGGGGCAGACTTTTGTTAGAGTGGCCCGTGCACGCGAAGGCACAGCCCGGATGCCGCTGCACACGTTGTGGCAGGCACGGTCGAGTCTTTTACTCCTAGGGTTCAAGCCCTTCACACCACAGGGAGCCCACGCTGTCACTCTGCTTTTGGGCCGTCGGAGCCCCAGGTCGATTCCATCGACTCGGAGGGATCCCGACTTGTTTCAGAAGGAACAGGCACACAGACACGACGAACCGTCGACTCCCAGGAAAATATGGGAAACTATGGGAAGTAACGGGGGAAGACGAAACCCCAGAAATCATGGGAAACTATAGGAAAATCCTGGGTTCTGGTGTTTATTTGATCTATTTGTGTGCCCCTGGGGCCCTTTCGCGATCGATAAATCACAGGGTGCGGGACACAGTTTGGTCGAAGAAATGGTCTCAGCTGTTTTTCCCAACCAACCTGTGTTGTTGGGTCCTCGTTTTGAAGAGACGGTCCCCGCGTTCCTCCTCCTCTCCTCTCCTCCTCCCCCTCCTCCCTCCTCATCCCTCCTCCCCCTCTTCCCTGCGTTGCCCCCACTCAGTACAGCGCTTCGTGGCCCCATAGGGAGCTCCACCGAAGGCCCCAGTGCCACCCTCCACATGCGTCACCCCAACCCACTTCGGCATACCCTTCACACGTTTCGTGGCCCCATAGGGAGCTCCACCGAAGGCCCCAGTGCCACCGTCCACATGCGTCACCCCCACCCAATTCGGCACACCCCTCACACGTTTCGTGGCCCCATAGGGAGCCCCACCGAAGGCCCAAGTGCCACCGTCCACATGCGTCACCCGCACCCACTTCGGCACACCCCTCACACGTTTCGTGGCCCCATAGGGAGCTCCACCGAAGGCCCAAGTGCCACCGTCCACATGCGTCACCCCCGCCCACTTCGGCACACCCCTCACACGTTTCGTGGCCCCATAGGGAGCCCCACCGAAGGCCCCCGTGCCACCGTCCACATGCGTCACCCCCACTCACTTCGGCACACCCCTCACACGTTTCGTGGCCCCATAGGGAGCTCCACCGAAGGCCCCAGTGCCACCGTCCACATGCGTCACCCCCACCCACTTCGGCACAACCCTCACACGTTTCGTTGCCCCATAGGGAGCCCCACCGAAGGCCCCCGTGCCACCGTCCACATGCGCCACCCCCACCCCGCACACCCCTCACACGTTTCGTGGCCCCATTCCACACGTCCACATGCGTCACCCACGGCACACCCCTCACACGTTTCGTGGCCCCATTCCACCGAAGGCCCCAGTGCCACCGTCCACATGCGTCACCCCCACACTTCGGCACACCCCTCACACGCTTCGTGGCCCCATAGGGAGCTCCACCGAAGGCCCCAGTGCCACCGTCCACATGCGTCACCCCCACCCACTTCGGCACACCCTCACACGTTTCGTGGCCCCATGGGGAGCTCCACCGAAGGCCCCAATGCCACCGTCCACATGCGTCACCCCCACCCACTTCGGCACACCCATCACACGTTTCGTGGCCCCATAGGGAGCCCCACCGAAGGCCCCAGTGCCACCGTCCACATGCGTCACCCCCACCCACTTCGGCACACCGCTCACACGTTTCGTGGCCCCATAGGGAGCTCCACCGAAGGCCCCAGTGCCACCGTCCACATGCGTCATCCCCACCCACTTCGGCACACCCCTCATACGTTTCGTGGCCCCATAGGGAGCTCCACCGAAGGCCCCAGTGCCACCGTCCACATGCGTCACCCCCACCCACTTCGGCACACCCCTCACACGTTTCGTGGCCCCATAGGGAGCTCCACCGAAGATGATATTCACAACTGCGTTACTCACAACTGCATATGGTTGGGTCCTTCGCCAGGCTAATTTTTTCCCGGAAACGGCGTGGGCCCAGGGTTCTCTTTTAGTTGGTGAACAACCCCCCGGCTTCGACTTGAGGTGGGCCAGCGAATTACATTTTGAGGATGTCCCGAGCGAAATGCTTGTTTTGCAGAAGTTGTCGAGGATGTCTCGAGCGAAACGTTTTTTTCCTTGAAGGAGGCCAGCGGAATTATTTTTGAGGACGTCTCTGGCGAAACGCTTGTTTTTCAGAATTGGTTGAGGATGTCTCGAGCGAAACGCTGGTTTTGCAGAGTTGGGGGATGTCTCAGGCGGGGGCCTCGTGGGGGGCCAGAATTCAGAGGATGTCTTAGGCGAAATGCTTGTTTTCACGTCCTGCTCGCAGGAATTCCGAGGATGTCTCGCGCGTGCCGCGTCCCGCGCGCAGGAATTAAGAGGATGTCTCGACTGATTCGCTTGTTTTTACAGGATTTCCTTGGCCATACAGGGGGGTATCTAACATGTTCTGCCCGAGCTGGAACCACGTCGCTTCGCGTGTCCAGGGCACCCAGGTGGGTATGTAACATGGTGGTCCCGAGCTGGTACCACGTTTTCCCGTGTCCTGGCCACACATGTGGGTATCTAACATGTTGGTCCCGAGCTGTAACCACGTGTTGCACCTGTCGAGGCCACCCAGGGGGTGTCTAAGATGGTGGTCCCGCGCTGGAACCACGTGTTTTCATGTGCCCAGGTCGCCCAGAGGGTGTATCTAACATAGTGGCCCCGCGCTGGAACCGCGTGTTTTCACGTGTCCACGCCACCCAGGGGGGTATCTGACGTGGTGGTCCTGAGCTGGAACCGCGTACTTTTACGTGTCCAAGCCACCCAACATGGTGAACCACGTGTTTTCACGTGCCCAGGCCACCCAGGTGGGTATCTAACATGGTGGTCCCGCGCTGGAACCATGTGTTTTCACGTGTGCAGGCCACCCATGTGAGTATCTAACATGGTGGTCCGGAGCTGGAACCACGTGTTTTCACGTGTCCACGCCACCCAGGGGGGTATCTAACATGGTGGTCCCGAGCTGGAACCACGTGTTTTCACGTGTCCAGGCCACTCAGGGGGTATCTAACATGGGCCTCCTGGATCCTTCCTGGGACTCGGAACGGAACGTCGAGAGTTTATTGGGCTGGCCTCCGGCCAGTGCCGCCGATCCGGGGGGGGTGAGAGCGAGCCGTCGTGGACATTGTGAAGGCCCAAGAAACGAATATGCCGAAAATGTGCGTTTTCCCAAGGGAATGGGTCTATTTGTCAGTCTTTGGGCATTCTTGGGAAGTGTCGTGAGGGATCCTGGGGACGTCTTGGAGGTTTCTGGGACTGTCTTCGGGGCATCTTGGGCGGTTCGAGCGATGTTTCGGCGATTTGGGGCCCTCTTGCATTGTCTAGGAGGCCTCTGTGGCCTCTCTTGGCTTCCTTTTGGGCTGTCTTGGGCGGTCGGGGCTCCGGAAGTGGAGTTTTCTATACCCCTCTGTCCCCGGGTACCGAAAAACGTCGGAAATGACGTCGGAAATATCCCCGTGTACCGAAAAACGTTGGAAATGACGTCGGAAATAGCGTCCCCCCCCCTCCACAGCGAAGCTTGAGCGAGCTCAAGTCCACGCTCTCAGAAACTCACACGCCGGATCGGCGGATTTCTATTTGGTATCGATTCGTTGACTTTTTGGCCTCCAGGCGCCTCTGGGTGTTCCTGGGCCCTTCTGCGCTCCATACGACCGCATGTTAGATGTCCCCCCTGGGTGGGCTGGACCACGTGTTTTTACGTGTGCAGGCCACCCAGGGGTTATCTAACATGGTGGTCCCGAGCTGGAGCCTTATGTTTTTACGTGTCCAGGCCACCCAGGGGGATATCTAACATGGTTGTCCCGAGCTTGAACCAAGTGTTTTTACGTATCCAGGTCACCCAGGGGGGGCTCTAACATGATTGTTCTGAGCAAGGACCACGTGTTGTAACGAGTCCAGGCTATTCGGGGGTGTATATAGCATGGTTTCCCGAGCTGGCACCATGTGTTTCCAGGTGTCCAGGCCATCCAGGGGGATATCTAACATGGTTGCCCCGAGCAAGGGCCACGCATTTTAACGTTCCGTAGCGCGTCCCCTCGGCACGTCCCGCGGTGTGTCCCCGTCGTGGCACATCCCCCGGCACGTCGCCTGGCGCGTCCCTTGGGACGTTCCGCGGCGCGTCCTCCTGGCATGTTCCCTTGTCAATTAGCCCTGGGGCAGCTACAATGTGCTGAGGCAGCTCGAGCTTAAGATCCACATCAGTTCGGTCAGGACTCGGATGCAAAGGTGGACTCGATCCACAACGCTATAGAGCACAATCGCTGCATGGCACATCGCAATTCAGCACGGAGATGCACAGCACAGCCCCCGGCACGGTACATCAAGATATATATACACTCAGCATTGCGTTTGCCCGTCGCCCAATCAGGTGTCTTTGAAACGTTGCCATGCCTTTCATGTCCATATTCCTTTACGGGTCCGTGGATCGATCATGTTGTGTTCTAGATTGTCTGTTCTCTCCTGGGGACCAGAATCCAGAGGATCTCTCAAGTGAAATGCTTGTTTTCACGAGCCCAGGTCTTGAGGATGTCTCGAGCGAGACACTTGGTTTCATGCGTCCAGGTTGCCCAGGCAGATGTCTGGCATGAGGGTTTGTTGAGGATGTCTCGAGCGAGCCTCTTGTTTTCACGCGTCCAGGTCGCCCAGGTGAATGTCTAGCATGAGGATGTATTGAGGAA